CACCTCACATCGCAGCTATTCGCATGTCCGTTATCTGCGTTGAGAATTCTTATCTCACCGATTGGTAGTTCTGTGTGTAAACCCTAAATTAAATGACAATCCAATATTTATAACATTTGACGATGGAGCCAAAAGGTAATTTACTTTTTAATAAGTTTACAGTGTGTATAAAATCTTGTCTCCTTAAGAAAGGTTACTATACTGTTAAAGATTTCATATAATAGACTAAATCGTTTTACTTCGCTAATTTGATTAAAAATTGTTTAATCGCCACTTCTTAAATGTAAAAATAGTACCTGGCTATACTAAAACGGTCTACTTTATTTTAATTATTAATATTAATGTGATGAAAGATGACATCAACACATGTTTTAAGTTTTTGATGTCGACGACACTGTATGAAACAAAACAGGGAGAAAAAAATAGCCCCTGCTGAGTTTCTTGCCAGTTCTTCTCAGTACAATGTCTCACGCCGTAGATTTACGAACCGATGGCGTAGCGTTTGACTTATACAAGAGCTAGGCTGTTAGCCTAGACTGAATAAATGAGTTTGAGTTTGAGTTTGAGGTGATCATTGGAACTCTGTAATAAAAAGACGCATTCGCTTCGAGTTTGTGTTTTTTAGATTCGTGTTAAATGGACACTTCAAAAAAACGTCTGGGAAGATGTTAAGTATGTGGTATTAAAAATTGGCGCAGTATTGTAATGTTATTCATGTGATGACTTCTCCTACTACGTCGACTCAGCTGAGCCCATGATGTCGATTTCTCATTAAGTCTATCAGGAAAAACGTCGATTACCCTACCTCACCTTGATATGATAGAAAACATATTGTTGGTGTTGCAATATATTAAATAAACTAATAAATCTTATTCTAATGAAAACGTAACACAATAAGTCAATGCATAATGTGTATAGTATGCAGAAAGCTCAGGAATAATAAAATTTCCCTAACATTTCCCGGATAAAAACAATCGCATGTCTCAATCCAGGTAATCTCTATATGTGTGCCAAATTTGATCCTAATCCGTTTAGCCGTCTTTGCGTGATTGAGTAACAAACGTACAAACTTTTACATATCTTATATTAGTAGAAAAGAATAGGAGCTATGTACACAATGGTTGAGGTACGAGAACTATTAGATCATGTTCATAAACTCATGAGGTAAGTACCTACATTGAACAAGCAAATATTTCCACTAGTTTTTTCGGTCTAGCTCGAGTGACCCCGCTAGAAATAAACATCATCCATTACTGTGGCCACTATCCCGACGCAAACAAACGAATTTGGTGACTGGTTTTGCTGTCGTATTATTCATATATACACACATGACACAGTGTTATGTTAAAGCATGGATGACATGGTGAATTTCGGTATACTCGTAAAAAAACCAACACCAAATGCACAAATTTAGTGAAAACCAAACATTTGCAGCTGCAAATATTTGGTTTTCCTTTGAGGTCGGTAGAGATTTTGCTGTTGTATTATTCTTACGTACGATCTATTTTAGAATTCGCAAGAGTCTGGAATCTCCAGTTTAAAGTTTTTAAGACAATTAAGGAAATTATCAGAAATTATACAAAAAAACCGACACACAAACACTTTAGCAATGCTCGCGAAGGTCAATTGACTCTCTATATCAGACCTTACAAAGATCGTCGTTTGCAGAGAGACCAAACATTTTTTAAGAGATTTAAAAGCTCACGTTTGTTCTGAAGATTTTTACGGACTACCAGTTAAATATGCCCTCGGATTGTGTCACCAACGGTGATGTGGGTGGAAATATTCCACTCCTAAGAATACTAAATACACTAGAAATACTTGCATTTCTAGATCCAGCAAAAAATATTATCTATATTTAAATAAATCTCGCGTCATAGTATTTGTTATCGAATTCCTCCGAAATAGCTTCACCGATTTATATATATATATCAGCAAGATGTATTATATATTTGGGTATATTTGGTACATCTGAGAAAAAGGTCCTTTCTCCAGTTTTTGGAACGAAGTTCCATTTTGGAAGGTATGACGGATGGGGGCTAGGCGAAAAAAAAATAGATTTTTCCGTCACAACCTAGCGAGGCAGCTGGATGGGTAGGTAGATGGGCAACTGGGTAGGCGTCCCCTATGGCGGTAGTTGTTGACTTTGTTTGAAGTTTTGGACCGGGAGACGCGAGTGATGGACCGGGATTAGTGAGTGATGAACTAGGAGCGGGGGCGATTTCTTGTGTGTGCCTGTCTAATGCTCATTTCCCGATCCACATGGATAATAGTTGAGAACTCTGCACTCGAAATTGTCGACATATAGTAATGAGTAAATCTGTCCGATTACAAGGAAGGCAAATCCAGAATCAAGAAAGGCAAATCCAGAATCCAGCTAGGCTGGGCAGCGTTCGGGAAATTTCGCGATATCTTCTCGTGCCTGAAAACCATGGTCTTCGAATCGTGCGTGTTGCCGATAATGACATACGGAGTTGAGACGTGGTCGTTGACAATGGGCCTCTTATGCAGGCTCAGAGTTGCACAGCGAGCGACGGAGAGAGCAAAGCTCCTGCTTCCTCACATGATCGAATCAGGAATGAGGGAATCCGCAGAAGAACTAGAATTACCGACATAGCTCAACGGAGCGCCAAACTGAAGGCCCCAAAAGGTGCTTCTGCTCGCACTGGGAAGCGCAATGTTGGTAAACCATTACCCAGGTGGACTGACGACATTAAGCGATAGCGGAATTAATGTGGAAAGCGCAGGATCGATGTATTTGAAAATCCCTAGTGGACGTCCATCGGCTGATAATAATGATGACTTTTATATTAAACTTACCCTTTATTTAGTGACTGATATGACTACCATCAAGTGTTTTAAATTAAAGTCTATTTACAATTAATTTTTAAATAATTAACCTAATTCTGACATATATTTATTGACTTAATTTACAAACATTTGATTGGACATTATTTTTAAATGTTATGATATTAATATTCACTTATCTACAATGATAGACATTTCGTTGGTGGTAATTAATTTTAAATTGCTTGTTTATTACCTATAATAATAACACGTTTATGTGATTGTTATTAGTGGTTAATGTATTATATTATTGTGTCTAAGCTGTTTGCCAAATAAAGTAAAAATAAAATAAGGCACCATGGAGGCACCGTTCTTAACCGAGTCTACGTTCCGTTTGTTAACGATACCGGCGCCGCGGCGCGCTAGCATCGGTTTGGGGTCGGTACAAACCAGCGTTGCCAGATTTTTTTTTTCCTAGTCGGGATTTAGAAACTTTTTGAGTGAAAAAAACGGGATACTTTCGTCGAAAGCGTAGTAGAATAGTAAAAAAAAAACGTACATAATCAAGAGTTCAAATTACGTTTACGTGACAATAGATAGGTAAAAATATCCATAGAAAATGTATTTTATTAAAAAAATGTATGATATTTTAAATCAGATTTACCCTATCGTTAAATAGTTGCATCTTTGTTTGAGAGTTCTTCATTACGCACCGGGCAGGTGGCCAGTCCACACTTGTCTGTGCCACCCGCCCGCGCTTTCTCCGTACGCTGCACGCACGGTCGAGTTATTCCCGAAAAGCGGGACTGAGCCTGTCCCGCGCGGGACATATAATTTTGATTTAAAAAACGGGACGTCCCGCCAAAATCGACAACGCTGGTACAAACTGTGCTCGTGAACAAGCTTGAGCCGGCATCGGCCCGCGTAGAAACCGTGCCTAGGCCGGCCTACCCGGCGGAAAACCGGTCGTTAACAAGCGTCCTTACTCTATCTTATCAGGGATATATTTTATCGGGATGGTGTACTTTGCTGTACCTTGTATAAATAATCATGCACACACACATCTTGACATCGAGTTTCCAGCAACGTAGACAAATATAAAATGGCTATATATCAATTCAGGTCACACCTACCTGCGTGTTTATGTTTTTTGTTAGGGTAGCATTGTTGTGGCATACAACATAAGTCCATGCATACAACTTTCTGATAGCTTATGTGGTTACCAAGTGTATAAGTATTTGCTTTGAATTCAGTACTGTTCCATCATCCCAAATAGCATCGTGAGATTTATAAGGTCACTGTTTCTAGCAATAGTTTCCAAAGTTAAATTGGCCTTAACGATCGCCCACTTACAATAGAAGACGTCACTAGAAGAAGAAGTGAATAACAAAAACAATGTGCACCTGTGACCTATATTGTTTTTCTACTAAATGAGCAATAGGTACATACTTTTTCCATATACTAGGGCTTAATTGTCTGCCTTTAACCTCATCATCATCTGCGTGAACATAAGTTACTTTAATAAGATACCCTTTTACCGGGATAAAAAGTACCTAATATACCATTTTTTTTTAACACCAATTAGCCTAGCCTCAAAGTTAGCACTGTAAGGGTTGTGTTATAGGATACTAGGGTATCGGATAGAATACATGTACTGACACATATATAAGAACATTTTAAATGTAAATACCATATAAACATCCATGGTTTAGATATAAATACCCGCATTCATCATATAAATATTTCCCCCACCGGGATTCGAACCCGGGATCTCTGAGTAGGTAGCATCTTGAAACCCGGCGTACATAATTGCCACTCGCACCACAGAGGCCATCGTGCTCTTACAATATTGAAATAATTACCCTAATATCACAGGAATTATTGTCTCTTTTCAAAAATGCAGCCCCATGATATAATTAACCAATTAATAAAAGCAACGTATAAACAAAACGGTGCATCCGGAAAGGTATCATTTATGAAAAATAATGAGAGGTGAGGATACCTTACCTACTGATAAACACATCTTAAGCACGATTTTGATAAATATGTTGTTTTTTTAACTTGGTTTTATCACGAAAAAAAAATAACGAGCAAAGAGTAACCTCTAACCTAAATAGTAAACGCTGCGTAGCGACAAAAAAAAAAGAAACTTAAAACCTGTCTGCGTGACAAGGACAGTCAACGAAAATTAAGAAAAAGTGTTATTTACTAACATCGTTGACCGGCGCCCTTGACTCTGCCTTAAAGTTGTTTCGAAATTAGTTGATTATCGCACCATGAACGGCATTATTCACTAAGATTATTTCGTTGTTATATCACGCAATTATTACATTCGTGTTATTCACGTAAGCGCACTAGTTCGAGTTTCCCGGGAAGTGAGCAAGCGGGCCGGCGCGCACGGCTCTCTATAGTGTACTGGTGGCACAGCTAGAGTCGCGTCCCAACTGATGGGATGGGGTCGAGGCCGGCCAAACATTGTAAACCTACCTATTCCGTCTAACTGCTAGTTTTTGGTGTTAACCAAACGAATTGATTGACGTTTCGTCGCAAGATAAACCTCAATAATAACAGTAATTAGGTAAATGTAACTATCTCTTGGATTTTTTCAAACTATTGTTTATTATATAGACATGCATGGATGCATAAGTATAATTATTTTAGGTGATGTTTTTACTAGGAATGTCTCTTAATGTGATTTTTATTAAATTTAAAATTTTTGATAAATTATTTACATTTATCCTTTGAGGTGCTTTTGCTAATAAAGATGGTGAGCATTCACTTTTTTTTTTTAAATTTACTCGGCAAGGCGAAATATTGAAAAATCTAATATCTATGGATAATTGTACGCTGAAAAATGTCGGGTATTATGTAAATTTGGAAGTAAGATGATGTGATATTTTGAGATCTGTCATCGGATCGGAGAGTGCGCTGGTAACGGCAGCGATGCGTCACGCGGCGCGGCGGCGGCGGCGCGCGGCGGCGCGGGGCGACGTCGACGAGGCGCGGCAGCCCACGCGCTTACATAGTGCACGTACCGTACGTAGGCATAACCCCCCTTGAGACATGAGAAATGCATGACACATACTACGACGCTGGGTAAGGCGACGGAGTTTTGTGGGACTGTCCCGCGTGCGCCTTGCTATAGTCGCGGCACGCTATGATGGCCGTTTTGACACATTACAATAGTGATCAAAAATTAAAATTTGAGTTTTAAAGTTTTCAGCCACAGATAAGAGTTATTTACGATTTGACGACCTCCGTGGCCGAGTGGTATATACGGCGGGTTTCATAGCGTCGTCTACTCAGGTCCCGGGTTCTAATCCCGGTGGGGGCAAATGTTAATAGACATGAATGTTTATATATTGTATATCTAGATAAAATATTGTTGTCGTATTGGATTAATTGAATAACTCATTTTTTTGTTAAGTAAAAAAAAATGCGAGCGGTAACTAAATAACTGAGGAATTGATTACATAACTGTTAATTAAGTGTTACTTCTAAATTTAAGAAAATCTTTTTGTTTTCTGAAAATAGGTTTGTTTAAATAAAATTCCATAAAATCTTGTGTAATCAAATGCTGGTCACATCGAGGCATTATATTTTTGAAGTGAAACTTCTATATAGACACGGTATTAGGATTTTGCTGTCACGAAAAAGTGTTACGTCCGCGTGAGAGGGGTAGACAATATAGCGCGCAGTGAGAGGCGGCAGCGGCGGAGAAAAGTAATGTCCGAAGTTTCACTTCTACCATGTGTCCCAGTCCAGCACACATTGAATTTTTTGGAATTTTAAGCAATTTTGCAAAAAATGACTAGCTAATATAATATTTTTTACGCTCGGCAATCCTTTATGCAGCGATGTTATTGATATACCTACACTTCCAGCCACATCTATTGGCCCACTTAGTGTTATAAATTTCAACGGTCTGTATCAAATATTATATGTTAGGTTGAGCAATAAGTTTTTATGCAGTTTTGAAGCGCGTTTGTTGCCCATATTTTCCTATATTTTTTGTTTAAAATTCAATGTAAAATTTCTTTTTAGCTACGGACCGTCATAACTTAATAATACGAGGTAGGCCGATAGATGTGACCGAAAGTTTATTTTCAAATGCCCAGTTACGAGGTGAATAAGTATACAATAATAACAATATTATGTGTATGATATACCGGTTCTGAATAATAATGATAATAAAAATAAATTAATTTAATTTACCTAATCCTTTAAAGTTTCTATTAAACGGTCGGTGATTTTATGTTAAAAATGATATTATATTTTTTATGTTTTAAACTTGAAAAGGTTTTCATACCTATAATATTTTGTTAGTTAATTGTACGGCCTAAAATTACCGATTTGATAAATATAACTAAATGCGCGTCTCTAATTACAATGAAGAACAATAATTATTTCTTTATTAAGAACTGATTTCGAATGTGAACATCATAATGTGCCGCTACTATGTCCTAACTAATAATGCTAGTGGGTGTACCCACTAAAACTCTGGGGTGTGAACTCTTTGCTTGCTAAAGAGATTTAATAATTTCATGTCTTTGTTGTTAACAGTGATAGTGTGGGTTCCTTATTGGAAATCAAACATACAAGGTATACTCCCCCCGTCCCCCGCACTCTTTTTACTAGATTCTAATATCATTTTACTCTTTTAGTTCGTTATGTGATGTTCTTCTTCCAAAGAAATTGTTAGTTTCTCTATCAACAATGAACATTTCTCAATTATCTCCGTCGCTTCCAGTACACCCACCTCTAAAGTCATTCATTAAGATAGATGTGGGTGGGTTATATTTATGTTAACATGCTCTCTTAAGAATATGCTTAAATTTTAATAAACATTAACTTTCAGATTCCTTGTTATAAGATCACAATTTATTTATTTATTCATCATTCATGTGAGCTTACAATAATTCCAAAACGTAACACAAGTGACAAAATTATAAAAATATTAAACACATGACAAACCAAATTAATAATAATGGAAACAAGACGAAAATCAAAATTGAAGACATTAAATTAAAATTAAATGATAGAATGTCAAAGTATGTCACAATAAATTAAATACATGACATTTTCATTATAAAAAATAAAAACAACACAAAATATTAATAGATTAAAAGCATATTACATGTCGAAATTATTTACTATCATGCCATCTTATACAATATGAAACCGGAATAAGAGCTGTCGCAAACAATCTGCAAATAAGTCTATACCATCGTTCTGAGTGAGGACGTCCCCGACAAGTGTTAAGGTGTGATTAGTTGGTGAATTCTCGCAGCGCTTTAAGTGTGGGTAATAGGGCGAACAGGATACCTTCTCCGTGGCGCTACCGTTCCCCTCTCGTCCCATGATAGGCATTTTGGCACTACCAAGCCAATCTTCTCCAAAACTGATGGATTATCAACGCTATGATGCCTCACCGATAAATAATGTAGGATAGCTGCCATAATTAGCCTACACTTAAGAGTTTCAATGTCCGCCATACCAGCTACAAACATGTAAGGAAACAAAAATGGGTAATAACTATACTCTTTCTTGTATAGCCATTGAGCGAATTTGCGTTGGAAACTTTCTCGCTGGAGAACATATATTTTTTTCTCATTAGGATTCCAGACAACAGTCGCATAATCTAATCTACTAGGAACGTATGCGTTTAATAATATCTTAGCCACTATTACATTGTCGAATTCCCGAGCAGTCCTAATGATAAAACCCAATGTAGCCGATTTGCAGATAGATGTCATGTGTTTGAGAAAATCCAATTTGGTATCCAATATTAATCCTTAGTCTCAAATGTCAGTAACTCTATCCAGAGGAGATATAATATACTTAGATCGAAATAGGTAATGCAAGATTATGTGGCGTTCCAAAAGCATGCCAACGACTATCCTGGCTGCATTTCGGTGCGGCCTTGATGAGATTCTTATGGGCCCATTCTACCAACTATAGAATTTCTCCACATCACAAAACAACACAACCCGTGATCAACTTTTGTAATGAACAAATGAGCGAATAAAAAATTAAAAAAGGGTGAGCGATGCAAGAATAAACGCTGTTTTATTTTTTCGCGTCATAGTTCTCGACACTGGACGTCTATTGAAATTTAAAAAACATGCCTATGAAATATTATGAAGTTGTAACAACCTCAATATATAGATAGAATTGTAATGGTTAGCCGGGGCCCATGCTTTTCATTATCGTGAGTAGTACAATTTAAATCACCGTACATATTGCTATAAATTGGTCTACTACTACCTGGGTCTGTGGATATAATACATATTTTTTCCTAACATTTAAAAATTAACCTATTTCTCTATTCAAGTAATATAATATGGTAATATTATGTGTGCCAAAATTCATAAATAAATTAAACGTTTAGCCATTTTTCCGAGTTGCAAACATCTACACTATACAAAAAAGTCCGCGATATCATAATATGTCTAACTATTACAGTTATATCATAACTATAGGTACCCTGCGGTTTTACCCGAGCTAATTTGAGGGAAAAGTTTAGAGTGAGTCAAACTTAAAAGATATGTTGCCGTGGACTTTTTTATAGAACTTTTAAAGGGAAATATCCGTCATACATGATTTTTGTGTAACTTTAATCATTTACGCAGCGCACCCAACGGAATCTCCCAAATGGAATATTTTTACCAGTTTATTCAATATTTTACATTGATACTCGGCTCCTACTGGTTGCAGCATAACATTATGGATGACCTCCGTGGCCGAGTGGTACGCCGGGTTTCATGGTGTCGCCGACTCGTGAGGTCCCGGGTTCAAATCCCGGTGGGGGCAGATGTTTGTGTGATGAATATGAGCATTTGTACTCCAGTCATGGACGTTTAACATGTATTTCTATAAAAATATACTTATATATGTACAGTACATGTATTCTATCCGTTACCCTAGTATCCCATAACACAAACCTTATAGTGCTTACTTTGGGGCTAGGCTAATTGGTGTGAGTGTTGGAAATATTTATTTTTTTATTATATAGCCTTGAGCCTTCATCAATAAATGCACTATTTAACACAAAAAGATTTTTTCAAATCGGACTATTAGCTTCCGAGATTTGCGCGTTCAATTAAAAATAAATGTGTATTCGGTACAACGGGTCGTAATCGTAGCAACAAAATTTGCACTATCAGTTAAATACATTTTCATGGAAGTTTTATAATTGTATAAAGAAATTCATTGTGTATAATACAAGCCTGAGAAAAAAAAACTATAGTCTGCACTACACCGAAGCGAAGCGAGGGCGCGCCACTAGTCCAAAATAAATCTACAAGCATCCAAATGTGCAAACTTATAATATAAGGATCTACATTTAAAATACGGTATAATAGTGTACGCTGGACTGATAATGTATTATGTGTGCTATATTGAATGTTATTTGACTTCCCTTTTTTAAAAATACCAACCTACTGTACATAAACCCATATTTCCTTAAAAGCCTTATGAAGTTGCCGAATATGACTCATTTATGACATAGTAAATATTTTTATGTTCCGAATATTACTATATTCACATACTTTTACACTGTCCACTGTGATGTATTATCATAAAATCACACTATGACGTAATAATTATTTGCTTTCGGCACGCGTTTGACACACTTCAGCGATACTTGCGGGAAGTTAGTGAAAATTGACTCTTAAATTACGACACATGCCGCTAGATGCTGTCGGAGTGAAAATTTCAAATGCTACGCCCACTTTTAAGGTTTCGTAATCAACAAAGAACACCTATAGTTTCAACTTGTCCGTCCATCCTTCTGTCCGCAGCTTAGCTCTGAAACTATTTACA